GCACACAATAATTTCTTTTCTGACTGTTGATCAGACTTGGAAGTCAACCTGCAGGAACACCCCAGCAGGCAGAATGGCCAGAGAACAAAGTTAAGAGTTGGCTGTGTTGAAATGAAAGATATGTCCACATTGTGCTGACAGAAACATAAGACAGTATTTATATATATCTTGGAACTCCTCTCCAGCAGGCCTGTCACATTTTTGGTGGTGGTGGTCTTTATTCTCCAGGATAGTATTCAGTTGTCAACTCAGAGTGAAGCTGGATTAGAACAAGGTAGTTCATCCATATGATGCAGTCTGCTGGGAGAATTTCGCCATAGGTTGCATCTGGACTATTTTATCTTCTTCCCTTACACTTACCATTGTGTATAATATATTAATTTATATTACACATAATACTAGAAGAACTAAATAAAGTTTCTGAGGCAGGAGCCTAACCATTCCAGTTAATCACTAACTTCAAACTGAAAATAGTCAGAATTGTTTAGATACAGGATCAAGTGTGTATTATTTATTGGAAAAGAAGCAGTCTCCCAAAAGTCTGCTCCTGAACCTGTTACAGGGTCACTAGGATGTCGTCAGTGCCATCCACGAGATTAATAGCATGAGTGAGAGAAGAGATTCAAATTCCTGAATGTTTCAGACAGTGTGGAGTATTTGAAACATCTGCACAGGGCTTGCAGCTACTGGACCTACAGGAGAACTGCACTCCTCTGGAGGAATAGCTGGAATGCAGGTGGGATATCCTACTGATCTTTCCTCAGGCTTCTGCGTTTCACCTGATAAACACTGATAACATATTTCCGGTTACAAGAAAAGAGGAAATATGCATTTATCAACAATATTTTTCATTTCACTTTCCAAGTGAAATTTATTTAACAACCTCAAAAGCAAGTTAATTGCACTAATGTCTAAGTATCATTACTATAACACGAGCAATTTTAAATTAGTCCTAGATAATGCGGTTTTTGATGGATGTTCTGTAAGTATGCAGAACTGCATACACATGTGAGATGGAAAATAATTCTGTAGTAGGATCTACTTTTTTGGGGGAGTTGGACTAGATGAGCTCCAGAATTCCCTTCCAACATAAATTAGTTGATTTTATAAAATAAAGATGCAGTTTTTAAAAACACCTTCTGTGAAAAAGCCATACAGCACAGTACCTTTGATAAGAAGTATTTAATCATAGGAGATAATAAAGAACTCTGTGATCACCCTACTGTAATGTTGTATATTGTATCAATTTCTAAAAAAAAAAAAAAGGAGGAATGAGTGCGATCTTACTACTTTATTTTTCACTGTTAAATATTTTTCTTTTTACAGTAAATAAATGCGCTCTAAAAATGTAGGTCTTGTCAGGGAGATGCACTGAAACTCACTCAACATTAAATTAAGGTCAATAAGACTACAAAGATGAGATTAATGTGCAAGTAGTTTAAATTTTCTGTATGAAAATGAAAATAGATCTTACTTAAAATATTTGGGACATTGCATGAAAGAAAAATCCCTACTTGTATATTGAGAAATGGAGACCTTCAAAAAGGTAATTTTTAGAAATTATACAGGACTTGAAAAACAGAAATTGAATATAAACTCTGAAAAATACAGAGCAATTCTAATATCATAGCCAAAAAACAATTGAATTCTGAAGATAATAAACTTTGGTATTTAATAATATCATGTTAGACATTGCTTTTAGCATGTTCCATCTTTTGAAGTCATTTGTTCCATCTTTCGAAGCCATTGGAACAACAGGTTAAGTTACAAAGAGCTATTGTGCAATCAGTTTTCCAGTAAAGCCCTGTCCAAGTCATTGGGAAGTAAAAGAATGGCAGAATGGTTTAGCGCATCACCTCATTATTGTCCAAGTTTCACTTGCTAGACTGTGATAAACCTCTTAGGTATTTTCCTCAGAGAGGATGGAGAATGTGGGTGACTGAACTAGAGAGCATCCAATGAGACAGGTTATGTTTTAAACCAGGTTTAATCTGAATTTTACTATCCAAACCAAATCCATGTTTCTATAATGTGGTCTCTAAAGTGATACAGTGACAATCTCCTGTACCCTTGGTGTGTGGTTGAAGCATGGACATACCAGGAGGCCTCCAAAGTAGGGAAGAAAAGGTGTCACTCTATGAGCCAGATGAACTCCCCAAGGCATCTGTGACCTGGTGGTTTACAAAAGTAATAATCTCCTGTTCTGCCCTATCCCCTTTGTCAGTAAAAACAGATCTATCTGTGCTTTCCCCTATTTTTATGTTCTGTTATCAAATACTATAAAGTTGCAACTGTGTATCCTTATATAAGAACATTAAGTATTTTTACTACATAAATATAATGAGAACTTTTTGGAAAAACATGTACAGGAAGTCAGTCATTATTCTGGGTAACCTGAAGGATGTGTGATCATTTCACAGAAATTTCACACAATATTCTGAGTTGGAAGGGACCCACAAGGATCATCAAGTCCAACTCTTACATAAATGGCCCATACGGAGATCAAACCCATGACCTTGGTGTTATTAGCACCATGCTCTAACCAACTGAGCTAATCTCATTTGATCATTTATGGACACCAATCCAGGAATAGGACTACATAGGTGACAGATTATGTATTTTGGAAACAAAAAACACCACCAAGCTAGTGTAAAACATGGTGATCGTTCAGTCTGAACAAAAAAAATACTCATTTTCTGCTCAAGTTCCTTTAAACTTGGTGGGGATTTTAAGTATCAATTTGCAGATGCAGAAAGAAAAAGATATTAAATTTACTGAATTTTAAAGTCTCCATTTAAAGTCTCCATCCAGACTAAGTCTGTAGTTACCAGTTAAGAGATAAGCACCTCAAACCCCCAAAACATATCTGAACAAACCTCAACCCTTGTATGTACCACCTCTGTGACAGAACACACAAAATACTTTCCAGTGGTTCCCTCCCTCTCTCTCTCCCCATACTTTATTACTGAATTTGCCTGTCCTATCATGTTAATTGGACTAGTTGATATGTCACTGTTATTATTAAAGTTTTCTTTAATAATCATCTTGTCTTTTGCAATTCTAAAATGATAGATCTGTCCTGTTGATTAAAAACACTGAACTTGAATGCAGAATGAAAAAAATATGGATCTCTGTACCAGATTCTTCTTCTCCATTGATTTCCTCTTTTTATGATTTTAAATACCCTAGAGATATTTTTAGAAGCTAAAATAAGGTATTAAAGACATTTCTGTTGTCAGTTTTATCCCTTTATGATGTCTAGTCTTTCTTAGTTGAGGCTTCTATTTGTTTAAAGCTACCTAGCTGAAATGGAAGCCACCCACATAATTTTTCCAAGAAAATTAAATATTTGCAATGTAATACTTGTACTGTAGTTCCATTCCTCCATTATACATACTACATCTAGCTTCAGTGGTCTGAACAAGCAAAGGCATGCACATAATTAATTCCATGAGGGACAGCTTATTCATATATTTGCACACACAACGTTTGCTCTTTGTGTATCAGTTGCATATAATTTACAATGACTATTTCTGCTAACGAGTACTCAGTGTAAATTAAATTCTAAATAAAGCTCCAAGTTTTCAGACATATTTTTGTTGTTGCTTGATCAAACATTTTCTATTGTCCTACATGCATGCGTGCACACACACATACTGGAAATGGCTTTTTCTATTCTTCAGCTTGTGCTATGCAGTAAAATGGTTATATAAATAGCAACATGGCAACAGTTGCTTGCACATGTGGATGTCATAAACATTTTGTGTTCCTTTACAGCCAAATTCAATTCAAGGCGCTGTCGCAGCAGTGGGCCTCCTCCAGGAGCCGGCACGGGAGAGGGTCTCTCAGGCACCAAGGTGATTTGCAAGTTTCAAGGGAGTAACACATACGGTGTGGATTAGCTGTAAATTAATCACACAAGTGTTTTCTTTATAAGTGACATATATATAGGAGGAATTTCTTCACATAAAGGGTGATTAGACATTGGAATGGACTGCCAGCGAGGTGGTGGAGTCACTGTCCCTGGTGGTCTTTAAGGAAAGACTGGATGTGACACTTAGTGCCATGGTCTAGTTGACATGGTGGTGTTGGATCACAGGTTGGACTCGATGCTCTCATAGGTCTTTTCCAACCTAATTGGTTCTTTGATTCTGTGATTCCAGGGGCATGATGACAGGTCTTGTCCCCCCCAGCCCTGCCCCACCCTCGCCCACCATGCAGCTCGCACTCCTTTCCCACACGTATACATAAATGCACACAGGATCTGTGCTTTAAAACAACCAACCAACCAACCAAAAAAAAAAAAAAAAACCACAACCAACCAACCATAGGAATGTTGTTTTTCTTAAAAAAAAAAAAGGCACCCTTTTTCAGGATTGTGAGTAAATATGACCCAAGGGGCTTCCCAGAGGTATCCCAATTCCCTCTCAGCTGTTGCCCCCCAGGGCCTCCCATCAGCCCACCCTGGCCACCTTCCTGAGCCCCAGCTCCCTGCAGAGGTGCCCCTTGCTCACTATGGAGCTCATTCCCCCAGGACAAAGCCCTGCCTTGATTAATGCCCACGCTTGGGCTCCCATTTCAGTGTTATACCATTTCTACTGTGTCCACTTCTGGGCCCCTCAATTCAGGAACAACATCGACATGCTAGAGCGTGTCCAGAGAGGGGCAATAGAAGTTGGTGAAAGGTCTGGAGCACATGTCCTATGAGGAGCAGCTGAGGGAGGTGAGGTTGTTTGGCCTAGAGAAGAGGAGGCTCAGGGGTGACCTTATCACTCTCTACAAGTACCTGAAAGGAGGGAGTAGCCAGGTGAGGGTTGGACTCTTCTCCCAGGTAAACACTGACAGGACAAGAAGACAGTCTTCAGCTCCGCCAAGGGAGGTTTACATTGGATATTATAAAGAATTTCTTCACAGAAAGGGTGATTAAACATTGGAATGGACTACCCAGGGAGGTGGTGAAGCCACTGTCCCTGGAGATTTTTAAGGAAAGTCTGGATGTAGCACTTAGTGCCATAGTCTAGTTGACATGGTGGTGTTTGGTCATAGGTTGGACTCCATGACCTCAGAGGTCTTTTCCAACCAACCTGATTCTTTGATTCTGTTATTCCAGGGGCTCGACAGCGTATCCTGTCCCCCCTAGCCCTGCCTACCCCCCCCACCCCGCGCCTCGCGCTCCTTCCCCGCGGCCGCTCAGGACGGGGCTCTAAGATGGCGGCGGCTCCCGCCGACGCCGGCGGGCAGGTGAGCGGGGCGGCCTCTCCCCTTCTCTTCCCTCCCCCCGCCCCGGCTGCGCCGCTCCTCCGGCTGCCGGCCGGAATGGTGGCCACCCCTGGCGCGAACCCTCGCAGCCCTCCCGGCCCGGGAGCACCCCCGGCCTCGCCCTCCCGGTCTGCCGGGGGGGGAGAAGCGGGAGATTTCCGCACCGCCACCACACCCCCGAAGCGAGGCGGGCTCGGTCCTCCCGCGGCGGCGGAAGGGGCTCGGCTCCCCCGACCGCCCTGGGCGGCAGCGGGCGCGGCTCCTCTGAGCGAGCCGGTCCGATCCTTCTCAGGCACCGCGGCACCCCTGAGGTCTGCAGCCCCGCCGGGGCCGCCGGCTGCTGTGGCGGAGAGCCGGGAATGACCGGGAAAGGGCTCTGGGGCGGGGAGAGGATGAGATCACACGTAACGCAGTATGCAAAATACAAATCTTTGGGCACAGCCTTCCTGACCTGTCGAACTCGGAACCCGGGATCTGTGCTGTCTGGAGTAGGTGCGCGTTCCCCATTGGCCCTCCACTCTCGCCATCGGTCTGTCCCTCTGTGCCGGGGACAGACATCAGCACGCTTGGGGTGTCGCTTTTCTCCAGAGAGAAACGAGCTGCTTTTCTGCAGAGAACACTTAGTGTTCCCTAGGCAGATTTTGCCCATGTAGACAGAAAACTACAGGCATTTGTCCCAGGTTTTCCCCCTCTGTGACAGCTGCAGTCTGGGAGCCATACCGAGTGCTGGGCAAATGGGCACTGTCCCACACCCGCTCTGTGGAACGAGTGGCCTATGTGGAGTCCCGGGAGTGCTTGGCTGCTTCAGCTCAGAAAGTGCCACAGTCTCCCTCGTTTGCAAGTTAATCTGTGTATATTCAGCATGCCCAGAACACACTGGAGTGGTTGTGCAGCCAATACAGGCCATTCTCGACATGCCTGTTGGTGCCCCCAAGGCGTTTTATATTTGTAAAATTGTATCAGTTTTGTGGTTTAAACAATAGTGATCCTAATGATGTTGGGCATAATAGCTCATGTAGAAAACTCATTTCTTCTGATACACATTTTACTTTTTATCAGCCACTAGTAACAGAGATTCATAATTCTCTTGTTAATGGGTTTCACTGCTTTTACAAATTAGAACACTTCAGTAATATACTCTGAAAATAAAAATTGTGTCTGTGTTTTTCAACGTTTAATGTACAAGCAGTGTACTGGATGCATAATTTTAGAATGTCATGCATATAGTAAAGTTGCATAGAATGAAGTTGCAACTGTATTGCAAAGTAAACAGTTTCATGTTTATCACGTGTATGGGTTTGGCTGACCTGAGTGAGAAGCCTGTCAGCAGTCAACATACATTACTTTCTCATTTCACGTCTATCAACTATGATTCTCCACAGGAAAAGAAAATTAGTGTAAGTCTAGCATAATTGTTGGACTATTTTTATCAATTTAAAATAGAGATTGCCAATTTAATATCTTTATCTCAGACTATATTACAGTTTGCAAGGTGCTGTGATATAGATATTCTTTTTCCTGTGCATATTACTTTTAACACTAAATTTGCATATGTTGTAGTGAATCCATAATGATGCAGTATATTATACTGACAAATGTACTATATACTGCTAGGCAGTAGAAAACCAGCTGAAGATCTGCGGCTTTAAGAGCAATGGGGATGTCATAGGATTGTATCTGGCTAGACAGTAAGTAAAATATGTTTGTCCTTTTGACTTTTACTAAAAGTAGAGCACACAGTAAATTGTAACCTTTCATAGTGCTTTCTGTATCAGGTACTTTCTGAACATCATTTATATGTGAAATACCAGTAAAATATATTTGTACCTAGTCCATACATGTTGCGAATGAAGAAATGGTGAAGGTACAGTAAGACACACAGCAGAGCTGTTCTCACAGTGAAGCAGTTACCTGCCTCAGCTCTAGATACACAATCCATCTCCAGCAACCCAGAGTTGCTCCAGGATCTGTGAGTTCACAGAGTTCTGCATGAACTTCTACCACAGGAGCAGAGGAATGAGGCTGGATGGCTAATCTCTGCCTGTTCTAACTGGCTCCTAAGGCTGGGTGGAAGGAGTATCAAGAAGGCAAATGTGAAAACACAGAATCTGCAGAGTCTAAAGACTGCCAAATTTTTGACCTCCCTGAAGAAATCTGTTACTGCAACAGCGAAACTTATTGGTAGCACCTTTGAAATTATCTGCATCTCTACTGTTAAGAACTGAAGGGAGGGCAGGGCAACATGAAGTGAATACAGGCACAAGAATGCTTGTTTTGGGCAGGCAGTAGTGATCACAGAACTGATCTCCTCTTAGAGCTTTATGAAATAGCTTGAGATGTAGGCCAGATGAGGAGAAGAAGCCATGCTGAAGGAAGGCAATGCTTTCATGAACCTGTGGGTGATCTAGGTTGATAGAGGTGTATGTTGTAGTATGAACATGCTGAGAGGCTACCATTGAGGGATGGATGCATGACAGGACATACTTCAAAGTTTTTGGAAGGCGTGCTTTGAATTTCTGGCAGGGCATAATTCCAAGTGTTGCATACCTGTTTGCAGCCTCACGACTGCATCTACTGTTCGTAAGGCTGATAACATATATGGGGAACTAATGCAGTTTAATAATTCCGGGACAAGGTTCTCAAGGTCCTGGGTCCAATGAATGAAGGAAAAAAAAAAGGTATTATGGAATCTCAACGTTGTCTAGCTTGTTTTTAGTGGAAATCGGGTGGTATTGAAAATCTAAATGTGTCCACTAGTGTGTTTGAATTCCTTATCACATCTCTTGATTTATACTGGGAAGGTATTTGATGCTTTGTGAAAAGTAAACTTAAAGCATGTAGTTACTGTCAAATTTCTTTTTAATAAGCATTTTAGAAAGAAGAAAACATAAAAATTAAGGGAGAAGTTTAAATAACGAAAAAATTACAAGATACGTATATATATTCTAAACAAGACAAGAAAATTACTATAATGCATATGCGTAAGAGAATTAAGACTGTGTATACAGTCTTATTAGGCACATTTTTTTTATTTTAAATGCTTGAATGTGTGCCCTCACTGGCCATACTTTTTGGTATAAATAAAAAGAAATGTTCAGATGGCAGATACAGAAGTGATTTGTCTTCCCATGAAACCATTTTGAGACAGATGATGCAAGATGGCTTCTTTGATGATTGGATAGGAGTGAACTCCTTTTATTCTATACCAATTTATATAAACTTGAAGTACAGCCAAACTCAATATCAGACCATGCCTCCTTAACTGTTGGTTTGACATATTTTTCTGCTGGCTGAAATAAGAAAGTAAAAAAATAATAATTAAAGTCAATCAAATAAGAGGGAATGAGTTTATATTTTTTAAAACACTGCTCTTAAAGGGACATGAAACAATGTAAATTTGGACACTGAAAGCTGTCATCCTAGGAAAACTGATTAACTTAGCAGTAGGTAGAAAAAGAGTGCTGCAGGCCAAAAAGGATCAGTTTATAAAAGACATACAGAGTTTGGAAGGCATCTAGAAAGAGACAGGCTCTTTTAAAACTGTTAGAGGAATTAAGCTCTACCTGGGGCAAATTAAATGCCTTAAATACTATCAAAAAAAACAGATCAAGGCTTGGAGATAGTCAAAATGAGGCTGTTAGACAGGGAGTAAAGCCAATTAAAATGTAAACCTGTAAACTAGATATAGAATGGCAGTGATAAAGAACATGAGGAAATTTTGGCTTTGCTTCCTGAAAAGTAGTGCGGGGGTTTACAGGAGAATTTCATAGTAGCTCTGTAAGAGTTCTGTATGTCCTGTCAACAGTCATCTGCCTGTCTGTGCCACTTGCACTAATGTCTTTTCTGGTTACTTGTGACAATAGACACAAAAGTACGTATTTGGAGGGTTAGTTTTTATGAATTATCTGAAGAAGTTAAAGTGTTTAATGAAGTAACAGCATGGGATAATCTGACTTTCTGAAATAAAGGACACTAAAGGTACAGCACCTCAACTTTGCAGGGTTTGCTTTTGACAGATTTTTTATTTTCAAATGCAAGATCAAAAAAGGTGTCCACCCCTTTGTCTATACCTGGAGGGTGTGTTGAAAAAAACAAACAAAAAAAACCAACATGGGAAGCTAGAGACTAGGCTTCACAGCTGGAAAACAAACATGATTTTAGGCTGATGATGTGAGCTAATTTTTATCAATTCTGTTCGTTCTTTCTGAAACACTGGTCCCAGTCTTGCAACACATTAAAATCCACAAGGAAATTTTTATTATGTCAATTAAAATTTGTAATATAAAGGTAATCTACAATTATTCTAGTGGAAATTAAGAATATTTATTTAAAACAATGAAAAATCAAGATGAGCAATTAGTGAAAATTACTCAGCAGCTCAGTAATATTCTGTGTAATTTGTTATTTATAGCACACTAGCAAGCTCAAAGTGCTAGATACACAATTAAACAAAAAGCCCTACTGGCACATGGGAGATAGTTTCAGCCTTAGTGGATGTACTAAGTTTATGTGAGAGCAGGAGAGGAGTGAGAAAAGGGCAAAAGATTTCACAATATGCACTAATATGAAAAATAATAAGAGATGTGCATTGTTGTGCTCGGTGTCTGGCTTCTGTTGGCTTCTCTGGCACTGTGGTCAGACAATCCCCACTGCACCTTCAAAGCAATTTTCCTTTTAGATTTGTGTCCTCAGGGTGCCAAATTTCTCCTCCTGTGTTCTGAGCAGGATTTCCAAACTGCAAAGTACATGGCACTCAGACTCCCTGAGAAAATAAATGCTATTATGGAAAAACAATTAATTTATCACTTATTTTGTTGCTTGCAAGTGTGTAGAATGCTTACACTGTCTCTGCCATCTTGTTCTTTTTGTCTTTCTCTGATATAACTTGTAAGGAGTGTACCTTTTTAGTTCTTGTATAATATTATTTATAAAAAAATTAAACCGTTTGTAAAATTATTAAGCACTCTTGTTAAGAAATTTGTCTCTTTTTCTTTTCTTCCACCAGAGGACTAAGAAGTATCCCAAGTCTCTCACAGTTTAATAGGTTAAAGTATTTGTGGCTTAACAACAATAAGGTAATAAGATATTCATTTAAAGAGCAGAACAGTGCATCTATGGTCCCTGATTATTATTTTTAATTTTTTCTAGCATAAAGCATTATATAATTGTCAAGCTAATAAATTATTTTTAATTTCCAGGCATATTTAACTGTGAAATGAGAAAAGATTTTTTTTTAAACATCCCAGAGTTTAAGCTAATATATTTTCCTTTAGAATCACATCAGATTTATAAATTGTGTTTATTTAAGAAGCTGAGTTTTTGTGCTAATTCCTTAGCAATAAAAAGAAAGCAGTTCCCAATGTAGCTGGTGTACCCTGCCCAGCAGAGCGGCAGCTCTTGGAACAGACCGAGGGGTGATGTGGTTCTAGGGCAGGAGTGGACAGCAGGAAACGCGTAGCTCTTGTTTCACGCCCTTGCAGACATGCAGAGTTTATTTCCTGGCAGGATGGTGGTCGAAGTGAGGCTCCTGTTTGCCCTCATGCACAAAAGGGTGACATACAACTCTTTGAAATGAGCTTCTCCCTGTGCATGGGAAGCAGCACTGGAATGCTCGGGATGATGGGGTATCTGCTGCTGTTACACAGGTCACTGTGTCACCTAAACTTGTTGGACTTACGAGATTTCCAGACGAGTGGTTAGAGTGGGACCACATGAATTTCTCATGTTACCAATGGAGTGTATGGCCCTAAACCAATTACACAAGCCACATGCCTTACTTTCTCCTTCTGTGCAAATCCAGGTTATAGTATTTATTCTATCCCGTATGGGTTTTGAGAAAATGTTCTGTCAAAATCTCGAGACAGTACAGTTTCCAGCCAATTGTAAGCACATTGTATGTTACACAAAATCATCTCCTTGACCAGTAGAATTATCTGATTTAGAAATCTCCATATCCATAGCCAACCACTATTAAATGGTTGAATTGAATCTAAACTTTCATTAGCCACTGGTAATTAAAAAGCAAGAAAAATAATAAAACCCCAAGAATTCTAACCTGCTTTTAACTATCTTACTGTACAGTAGCTTACATGACTTTCAGAGTGAGCTCAACTTCTTAAAACACCAGAGTTGCCTGCTCAGGTAAATAAGTAGATCTGTGAGCAGCAGGAAAAATAAATTTACATTCCATGTCTCTTTGGAGTGTATGTATATCTGCTGCCCCAGGCTAACATCAATTATATGGCATCTTATGTCAACTTCATCAAAAGATCTGTGGTTATCCAACTATTTTCAAAAGAAGCAAAAGTATAGATACATTAAAAGATTGAACACAGGTATAATAAGGCTTTTCCTTGTATTTCTAAAGGACGCTAAAGAATAAGAAGAAATGGCCTGATGACTAAGCAGAACTAATCTTGCTGACCATAAAAGATAAATCAATCTGAGATCTCAGTTTTTTACCTAAACAGTAACAAAGAGCATTCTTCTGTTTTTCTATATAACTCGTGTGGAATAGCCACTCAGTGGCTTTTCTTAGGAGAAGTGTCACTTAAATGCTGTAATAGAGGAAGCGTGCTTTTATGTATTCAGTAGTTTTTATCACAAAAAAAGTAAATTTCAGGTGAAGGGGGAAGGGAAAAGGAACAAAACCAAAATAAAATATATATATATATCCCGATTAGTAGCCCAATATCTAACAACTAAAAGAGTTAGCAAAGAAATATCTCACTACTCTCCTTGGGACAACCAAGAGTTGCTCTGGAACGATTGCCGGCAACCTCTGTCTCCCAAGGTCGACAAGGCCTAACCAGGCCTCGCTCCCCAACACGGCAGACTCAACAGCAGGGAACCTGCACCTCCAAGCTGCCAGAAGGAAAGAGAGCGAAGGCCTCTCCTCCTCTCTTCTTATAGCCTGGCTTACGTAAAAATCGTAGGGAATACTGGGTAAATCTGGGCCCTTCCTTGGTTACAAACTGGTCACCAAGGAAGGCCTAGACCAAACCACCACACAGGGGCACAATTCAAGGACATTCTCCCACTAACAAATTTGCATTTGTAAATTCAGAATTCAAAGTAATGTCAGGAATAAAATTCTGCTTGTTGTTCTTGCATTTAAACTGTAGGATAAAAACTTGGGCACCCATTAGTACTCCCTATTCTCAGCGATGGTAATCTCAATCTCAATCTCAATCTCAATTTGTTATCTCATTGCAGATACTTTACCTTGCACTGGAAGCACTGAGGTCCAAGCAAGGGGATGTGATTTCATAGGGACCAGAGAAGACTTTTTATGGGAATACGCCCATGCGTTGTTTTTTTTTTTTCTGTAATTGTACTTGATTCTCTAAATCTGATTAAATGACATTTTGGGAAATTTAGAACAAGGTCAAGGAATAATTTAAAAAACTAGATGCTGGGTTTATTCTAAGGATATATTTCAGGAATATCCTTAAACCAACAAAGAATTATTATGTCCTACAAGGGTCTCCTAACAATAAAAATTATTTCAAATGTGAATAGAAGGAAGAGAAAATGTGAAGGCCAGTCATTCAAGGAAATCTGTTTCCAAATAAAAATATTAAATTTGTAGTTCAAAAAATTAGGTATGGCTGTACTACATGTGTTTGATGTGTAATTAGTATTTCTAATGAAGGTTCAGCTGTCAAAAGAATCCTTAAACCAAGTCTTAAACAGAAATATAAGAAACTACCTGTAGTTATGCAGTTTTCAAGAGACCATGTTTATAATTCTCCAATATTACATTTAGACTGACATATAATAGTTTGCCTAACTCTAATTTCAGATACAAGATTTAAATTTCTTGATCAAAAACTATTGCTTGACTGAACTCTACCTCAACAATAATGAACTGACAGATATATCAGGTACCAATATTCCCTTTTTAGGTTTTTGAGCAGAGGCCTATGCTTTCTTTTCTATGTACTAGCATTAAAATTTATACAGCTTGATGATAGCAAGTAACCTACCTACTGGTTGAAAGCTCCTATATATGCATAACAATACATGTTAATTATTAGATATTTAATTGTTCCAGGATACTTGAGTGGCAATAAGGTGATATGTTTATCCTGGTCTAAGGGATGAAATGTCATTCACTTTATGTCAGGCAATTGTAAAATATTTTTGATCTTACATGCACATATTGCATATTGAGTATTTATAACCAGAAGTATTTTGCAAAGTTAATGCCAAACTTATTTTATTTCAAAATTTGCATTTGTCTTATACTTCTATTTCAGTTTTGCTTGCTGTCGTAAATGAAAGTGGCTATACCAGACTCATGAATTTGTGAACAAAGAGGCCAAAACATAATAAATTTCTGTATATTTTAGACATTTTAAATGTTAATACTTTATTTTTCTCTGTCCCTATAAAATGCAGGGATTAATGATGTTGATTAGTTTCTGTGAGATTTTGAGAAAAATTAATCTTCGAAATACAAACATGGATAAAAGAGACAATACAGATGATAACAAAATGTGGTTAAACAGAAGGGTGTCCTTTATAGGGAAATATGGGTAGGAAACATTGTATAGAATTTGGAAAACGTGGTGTCCAATCCTGATGTGGTGTGAGAATGTGAACAAATAGCCTGGGACAGCCACAACAATATTTTGTAATAACTTTTTAATATGTCAGTAATTACTTGAAACTGAACTATTTTCTAAGGAATTCACTATTTATTATTTGAGAGGCAAAGGTGATATATTATTGTGAGGAAAAGGTAATATTAGGTCAAGGTAAAAGGAAGTGAATTAATCAAGGATTACTAGGATATAGGAGTAAGGAAGGGAGGAAGAAGAGAGTTTGCAGCTGATGCTGATTTGTTGATGCAAGGGTAACGTGGGCAAATGGAAAGAACTGGAATGAAAAAAAGTTAGGCCTGTGTTTAAAGGATGTGATTAGAAATATGAAAGGGATATTGAATATCTCTAATTTTTTTAAAATTAATATCTCATGCAGTGTGTTACCAAAAGGCAAGCATAGACAGATAACTAAAATATCAAATTCAGTGTGCAGCATAACAAAATAATTATCTAATAGAAGCAGTCTGTTATGGTGAGAACGATTAATTATTTTTCATTTCATTTCAGGTGCTCTGAAACACTTATGTTCGTTACAAATTCTGTTTCTTCACAACAACGAGTTAAAGAAACTTGGCAAAACAGTGAAGGAATTGAAAGGAATGATAAGCTTGCATACTCTAAGTAATACCTTATTTTTATTCTGCAGAACAGCGACTAGTAGATTTTTAGTTTCTTATCGGGATGTTTCTTGCCTGTTTCTGCATCATTTGCCAATAGCTTTTGAAACTAATTAGAAATTTCAACCAAATTTGACAAATCTGAAGAAGGAGATCTCTAGGACATGAAAATTCCACAAAGAGTACCTCAACTGAGAAAAACCTGCTGAGTTCAGAAGTTAAATCTTTTTGGCTGCTGCCTAGCCAATATCCTGGAGGAGTAGCTTGGAGGGTGTCAAGCAGTTTACTGCTGCCTCTTTGTAAGGGAACATGGGAGTGAGATTATCATAGAGGTAGAGTTGAAAAATAGATGTTATTGCTGTTGGGAGTGTGAGTGATAGATTATGGAACCCAAATTCCTGCCTCATTAATTCTGTTGCTTATAGAACTTCCTTTCTGCATCTTTTTGGCAGACTGTGGATTTCTAGAATCTAAGAATAGGTACACTTAGGTATTCTTCACAACAATGTCTGTTAAGTGGCATATTTTCTGATGCACTGGCTGGAAGTGAAAACAGCGCCATCTCTGAAATTTCAAATTAAGTTACACAAGACAGTGTTGATGCCACTAAGTTACAATGTAAGAAGTAGCCTCCAGGGAAAGTAGGATTTATATGCTATTAAGATACTGAACGTGAAAATGTAAGCAGTGTTTTCTGTGGTTCCTAAAGGAATGTCAACATAGGCCATGACAGAGGCTCAGTACTTGGAGAAAACAGGAAACGATTTTCACGCCTTAGTGACGGCTGAGGAGGTGAATGTCACCAGGCCATAACACCTCCTTAAGCATTCAGAAAACTGAATGTCTGATTGTGGGAAAGGAAAATATGACTTAAAAAGTACACTTTTAATTGAACTTGACACTGGGCCAAAACTAAGAAACAAATCAAGGGTTTTAGGAAGACAACATGTCAGCCAAATTATAGTAATTTTTTTCATTATATGCAAGATAGAAAAAATAGTCCGTTTAAGAATGCAGTTGTTTGAAGTGATTAAGCAAAGTCTGGACAGACATCCTATGTATGAATGGTGCAGTCACTTGAATTTAATGTTAGCCCTACAAATTAATAAGGAGCTTCAACAAGCACAGGAAGTTTGTTGTACTTGTTTCAACCATCTGTGGGAAATACATAGCAGATAGTTAAAGTGCTGCTGAGTTATTATGAATGGCAGTCACAAAGGCATAGTGAAAACTGGGTGCAAATTGGACTGGCCAGCACCATAGAAAAGGAAGTGTTTGAAAGAGCAATCAAACAATATATAGAATATACCAATCTACCCTAATTAAAAAAAAAGTTCAAAGATTTGTACCAGAGTAAACAGTAACAGCGGAAGAAGCTTAATAACCTTAATAACCATAACTTTAAAGTTATTTTTTCTTGACCTTTGCAGTCATGAAAAAATTGTTAATGTGTTTGTTTCAAGGAGATTTCATAATAATGAGTTCTCAAGTTACCAGTACTCTATTTGTTTAATAAAATGCAGTCACATTTGAAGTAAATTACATCAGTAATTTACAAATGAACAAAATAAATTTTAAAAGTCATATCCTATATATCACATCATATTACTATATAATTTCTGTGACTCCTTGCAATATTAAGAAATATGAAATGGGTGCAGAATTTGCATTGTGTATCTTTGAAAAGGGCTGTGCCCATAACTAACTTTTATAAAACAAAACCAGTGACAGTTCTCACTGTTATGAGGTAGATCTTTTTTATTGCCAGACAATCTCATTTAAGAAAAAAACAAACACTTGCTAGCCTTCAGCCGAGCTCCTGGATGCTTAACAAGATTTTATAATTTTGTAGCTCTTGGGGACAACAGAACTATTAAAACACACTATTATTGTTCACTTCAGGAGTAGCATCCAGCTGCCAAAATGTTGCATTTCTCTTCTTGAAGGCTCTCTTGTGATTTTTAGCCACTGGATGTGTAGCAGAACACCATCCTTCACCAGGCCTTTAGGGAAGACACTCAGCTTCGAAAGATTTACTGCACATGTTGCTCACAACAGCAGCCTTTGGGAGATACAGAGGGTTTCTTTATGGGCTCACCTTGTGCTCACATCTCCCTTTTGGAATCCAAGATTTTTGTTACATACTCTGTAAATTGTCTCAACTGATTTATTGTACTCAGTATCCTGCTGCTAGACCTCAGAAAACTGTGTTCTTCGCTATGTTTCTGCCCCGTGTGGCATAGGCATACTGTTTTCCTACACTCCAAATAGAGAAAACAGACAAAACTGTGGAGGAAGAAAGCATTATCCCTCATTTGTAGAAGTAAAACTGCATGACCTTGACAAGAGAGTAGATAGCTGAGCCAGGAATTAATCCCAGATGTTTTGTAAAACAAGACCATCTTGATCTGTACAATGGTTGGATTTACTGTAAAAATAAGCAGTAAAAAAATTCACATTCTCTAAAAAAACCCTACAAATCAGTGTTGATGAGGAGAGACGTGATCCAAGTAGCATCCAGATTCACAAGTGCTTAGTATCAGCCCTGGTTTGTGCCTTGGAAAAGTCTCTTTTGAATCCTTATTCCATTCCACTACCAAACATCCCTATTTTTAGAGATCTTTCTGAAACATTTTTATCTCTGGAATGCTATTGCATATTTTCTTGTCTCAAGAACAGAATTATCAGATATATGCATACTATTCTTTCTGATCAACACTTTCTGGAAAAAAATAGCTATATACTACTTTGTTCAGTAAAAATGGAACTTTCTTTTGCTGCCACCTTGTGGGTTTCTTACTAATTTCAAGTCAGTGACTTATAAAAATTTGTTCAAGAATTAAAATATTTTAAGTTCTCCTCTAAACACGTGAACAGGTGTTTTCTGTGCAGGAGATAGCAAAAATGCCTGTTCCAGCCTTACTGCATCCTCAAAATAACTGCTAAATCGCATCAAGCACTGAGCTCCCTTCAGCAATCATACTTGTCCTGAAGAACATGAAATGGCATCTTGTAGTTCAGAAACCCATTTGGAATATTTTCAGACTTTTTTCTTCTACTACTATCTCTTATTTGTTTCTGTAATACCATCTTCCCCCCCCCAACTGCTAAAATTACATGTAACAGGATTTTTTACCCTAGAGTGAGTATTAGCTACAGCCTCTCCTCAAAAAGAGAAAAAGCAGATCCGTGTAGCAGAAGTTTGTCAGAGTTGTATCAGAATTGTCAAAATCATTAAGATTTTTTTTTCTCTCCTCTGATCTCAGAGTGGCAGCATCCTGATTATTTTTACTGTCTTGGAAGAACAGCATTTGTTAAAGGAGAAAAATAGAATTATTATGTCTTTCATTTAGGAAAAAAGCCCCACCCAACAACACTTGTTTGTTTGTTTGTTTGTTAGTTGATCTGGGAATGAGCCAGTTTCTATTTTAATCAACCCTAGATATCACTGTCATGAAATAAACTAATTTGGCATTCAGCTAGGTAAGTGTTCCACATTTGGCAAAGCAGCAGCACGGGATTGATACCTGTCTCTGTGTTGCAAAGGTTTGGCTATACAGGTAAAGTGAACCTGAACATAAGCATTGTAGTCAATTGCTAATGGTCTTTTGCAGCTTAGTATCTCAAGGTAAGCTAAGGGGGTCCCAGGTTCTAAAGAACTTAGATCACATTAAACATTTTACTCTTAAGTTTCTGGAGTTTTCAAACTCATCATCTGTCAAAACGTCACAAGACTGGGTATTTGCATTTTATATTGTGTCTATGGGATAAAGCACCTTTATATCAGCTCTGAAAAAGCCTTAGGTGTCCTAAAGCTCATCTGCTTTTAATAACTCCCTCCCCCTACAACTTTTATGTCTTACCTTTAGGCTGTCACACTTAAAAGACCACTGTTATTTAAAATAGACATCAGCTAACAATACATAAGAAAATCAAAGGCAAGCAGCTAATGGGTTTTTCTATGTATATCTTAAAAAATAGAAAAAAACCTCAAAGGTTTGGAGTGCACGATGACACCTTTACTCAGTTCTTGCCTGTGTTGTTTTGCATGAAGTCCATGTTTAGTTATTTCATGCCTGTAAAGATACTGTGCTTTGTTTGCCCAGCATAAGAACAATTTGAGTTGATAATATTTTGTACAAAATCTTTGGTTCCTAGCGATCTTTAATTTTCCTGCCATGCAAAGCTTTTGTTCTTTTGCTGGGTTTGTTTTTTTTGTGACATTGTTTGTTTTTTCTGTATACATTTTGCAGACCTATTCCAAAACCCTCTGGCATATGATCCAGACTACCGGCTTTATGTCATATACATCCTTCCTTCAGTTCAGCTCCTTGACAGGAAGTGTAAGGATTGCTTTCCTCTTCTCACAAAGCATTGACAGTTGCTTTTGATTTCAATCAGTTTGGAGAAAGGGGTGAAATTATCTTGCCTGTTCTTTTACATGCATTTTTTGATATAGCAGAAGGTCTAATGAGCAGATACCCATTTTTTGCAAGATTTGTCAAGTAAACATAGTTTGCATGGCATAAACAGTTTACTTTGTCAAAGGCTTTTGATTTCTGTCATCTTAAACTGTGTATGCTTTTCTTGTGTCTTGGTCTATTTGGGTAAGACAGATAAAAGCCTGTGCTTAGAAACATGTACCTACATTTGTGCATTCTCACTGGCATATTCACATGGGTGAGCATGTTTACTTAGGTATGGATAATATCCTCAGCTATCTACATGTTTCTGTACAGTTTAAATATGCACATTTCTTGATGAGGAAGATTCAGACCATGCTTTCAAATATAAATATTCATAAATCATCATGAGCTCTTTCACAGATTTTCTATTGTAAATTCAACAGAAAAAAATGTCTTAAGAAAAGCCAGATGTGAAATCAGTGAATCCATAAAATGTCAAAATGAACCCAGAAAATCACCTTTTGTGATTTTTGCCTCTGGTGTTTGGAAAGCTATTTGATTGGCAAGTGGATTGAAAATTACTCGAGAGCCCTGAGAAAGGGGTTGATTCCTACCCCAGCTCTACCTTATAAGAAGGTAGCAAGGTAAAACAGGGCCATCTTGAAACCTGCTCCCAGCCTCTAAGAGAATCAGGATGTAGGACTTGAGCAAGGCAGATGCAGGACATCTGCAGGTGCTGGAAGACTGTGCAGCTCTGTCACGAAGGAAAGATGGTGGATGGGCCACAGGATGTGGCAGGGGTTGATGAGGAGCTGCTGGATCTGACCATGTGGCCATTTGCTTACCCTGTCATTTTGCACTGGTACCTCCAATCTCGAGTATTTGGTCTGGTGTTACAGCTGTGCTTAACACATCTGTCAGACTGTGTTACTAATGATCACTTTAGACTGGGGAGGGATGAATGAAGCTTAATGTTCTGAAAAATATGTGTTGCATTTACATGTCTAGAAACACTTCCGTAAAACTTCCTGGACTTAATCTCCAAATACAGTTCTACTGTAATCAGTCCTGGATTAAGACTTGCAATTATTTGTATCAAGCTGCCTCCTGGACTTCCCACTTAGTGAGCTATTTCTCTAACATTACAAAGCTTCTTCACCATCTGTGGAACATTACCACAGCACAGTCCTGGCTGTCGCCTTTACAGAAGACATGTGCTCACACTTCTGTTACCTTCAGGCATGACTACTGCAGTTCCTTTCTAATTGGTCCCCTAGACACTATGACTCCAAAACTTCCCTGCATTCAAAATGCTTCTGCCAGTTACTTGTTCTAAAGCTTTAGCTCACTTCTGTTCCATAGCTGAAGTACTGGATTAGTATAAAGTTCACATAATTGAAATTACTATCCCTGATTTTATTTAACAGCCTTAAACTATTTGTTTAAAATTTAAAGTTATTTTTAATTAAAGTGAAAAACAGGAAAATTTCAAGCTTTTTTCTTGATTGCATTCCTAGAGTTTTCTTTGTAATTGACCAGTGGGAATTGAACTGGCCTTAAACCAGGATTTGATTTTGCTATTCATAAAGAAACTTCCAAATCTTTACTGACTTCTGCAGTAGATCTCATTTAAGTAGTATGAAAAGTCTGGCTTTTTAGTTTCTTGGTTTAAAACTTGTCATCCTACTGCACTCAAAAGAAAATACTTTATTGTACAGGGCTTCACCCTAAAGCCTTGGAAAGTATCATTCCATGTTCCCATTTTGAATTGTTGTGAAATGATGTAACTTACACTGCTATTGTTACAAAACTCTGCACAGAAAAAAAGTGAATCACCTTTTGCATGCTGCCTTTTCAGTTGGTAGAAAACATCTTTTTTTTTATATCCCCTTAACAGTAGTTACACAAAGAGAAAGGGAATCAGCATTTCATCTTTATAACCCTGAAAGGTCTCTGCTCATGCAGTCAATAGCTTTTGGGAAGAGAGTAAAGACACCCCTGGGGACTCCAGTGGGATCCAGAAGATGCATTCACCCAGCCAGAAGACTGATAATGCCCTCAGGTATTTATAATAATAGAAGGAAAAGCAGACATTTTTAGGTGATTAGAATTAGAAACATTTTTTTTTTATTCATCTGATAAGAAGTTGTTGGTTTTAGTAATAGAATAAAAATGCATCAGGAACTCAGCCAAATTGCTTCATAAAGTAGTAGTAGCAGCAACAGGAAACAAATGACTTCTTACACTGACAGTTTTGAGGCAAATAAGTTCTAATCACTCTGTAGTTACAGAATTACCTTTAAAGATAGATGAACAAACAACATTTTTTTCCCCAGTACGTGTCTTGCGAGTGTTTGGTTTTACTTTTATTTAACTTAAAACATCTCAATACACTTCTAGGCCAGTGACAGCCTCATAGACTTTTGATGCCCTCTAGTGCTTTCATAAAATAATCTCTCAAAGAAACTATTTTCTTCTAGTGTTTTAAATTTTATTGTGCCTAGTTTTATGAGTAGATTCCTTTTTGTGCTTTCAAAGCTGAGAATATTTTAATGATGTCTTATAATAGCATATAAGGCAACTTTTAGAGTTCTTGTAACATTCAGATCTGGAAGACAGCATGACCTGGGCACAAGAAAGCAGGTGAATACCACAGGAACCTTGCGACTTGTACTGTATCACAATCCAGAACAAACCTTGAAATCTTGTCTGCTTTTTTGATGTTTTAAAGATAAGAAAACCAATATTGTGCATAGATGAAATCACAGCATTTTAAAAAGCAGTGTAGATGAAGTTTGGAAAGTAATAAAATATCTGCAAGTTTTTTTAAATGTATATATCACAATAGTAAAGCTGAAAGCAATATATTTAACAGTAATTTTGTAGAGGTTGAGAAAAGGAGGATAGTTTGATAATATATAATAATTTATTAGTTTTGCTGATTATTATCAAAGTAGGCGTACAGTTGTCTTTATCTCTACTATGCAATCATTCACTTATAGAGAGAGTGGCATCATTTTCTGTGAAAGAAAAAAAGCCTGGAAATGTATGTCTATTGGGAATAAGAGAACTACATAAACTTAAAAAAATTCTGACAGGTATTTGCTTCCACAGTACTTTAATAAAATATGATCTTAAACATTTCAAATAATCTGCTAGTTTTCAATTACTTTGAACAAGCAAATTAGGATCAGGATGGTAATCCTGAGCTACTCAAACTGCTGTACAGCCATTAATGTCTTAATTTGAACTTTTTGTTATAGGTTGTGAATTTGGAGATAACACAAATAAGTAAGTCATTTTTTTGATTTATTTTCCTTTTGCATCTCTGAAGCATTTACTGAATTTCCTCTTCTTGTGCCTAAAAAATACCCTAACCAGAGAAAACATCCAGCAAAAATGAGCTTTTCAAAGAAATTTCAGGCCTTTGTATTTAATATAGTTGCAACTCTATACTATTCTGATGAGACAGCCTACCTGCTGGTGTCTGAAATTTAATATTGAAAGGTATTCCACATTTGGAACTGGGTACATACAACTGCCATTTATTTGTAAGATCAAATACTGATCACTAGAAAAAACATGCTCTAAGTATTAGAGCATCAGAATATCTGTTCTATATTATGGCCCAAAAAACATTCCCCTGAGTGGCTGTTCAAAAATACATACTCTCTGAAAAACATTGTGACTTGAAGAATGAAACTTTTTTAGTCTGTACTTGATTTTTTTTAATTCTTTTCAGTTTCAAAATCATGGAAATAAATGCAAAACTTACCTCGGTTATCTTTGTCTTGATTGAGGCAGGAGAAAGGTTGCATTTTAATGTACCTTACATTGTAGATGCAATCTTTATAAGAGTAGACATTGTATTGTAGACATTGTAGGTGCAATCTTTATAAGAGTAAATTTACAAACTTTAGATGTCAGGCTTGGTTTTACTTTCTAGCTTTACATATGAAAAGATTTGAAAAATGCATTAAAGGAAATAATAAAACCCTACATATCCTACGTATCCTCTGACAGTACTGCATACAGCTATTTAAAATCAGGCTAATTTGTGTTGAAAGATTAATTCTTACCTGCTTTCAGTGGAGTTAGCTGTCCTCATTGGTAGAATGGATGTACGGCTTCCTCGAGTCTTATTTATGTACATGCTGAAGCTTTGCAAGGTGCCTTTTCATGACCAAGTGCTTTAAACTTGGTGGAGATAGTCCTGTGGTTCATATTAGGTGTGTGTTACTACTGGTACACCTCTAAGAAATAAGTTCTTATAAGATTTAATATTGTATCTGAGTTGGAAGGTTTTGGTCTAACACAAAGTCCTTCTCGATCCTACACTGATGCGCATCTGCCGCTTTCCTCTCCCAGACTACAGCTGTGGCAGGATACACGAACAACACAAGCTCACAGTGTTCTGGATTCAGAGCCTGGAGAATGGAGATTTGCCTGAGGGCTAGTTAAAAGATACACAGCAAAATAAATGTGCATTTGCATTAATCGGTATCAAATTGCTTGAATCATGTCCACTGAATCAGAGTATTAAAAGTATACAATTATAATTTTTGTGGGAAAAAAATTGAAAAATATTATTTTGCTTTAAGTTTACTATAAATGTATTTTAAATAATTTATACCTGATTTTTCCCCATTAGAATCCTGTGACTCTAACCTTTCCTCATTTTGTTTTGCTTTCTGAAATTTGGTAAAAGAAGAAAACCTTCTGAAAATTTTGAATTTTTAAATCCTCACTGTTAGTGTCATCATGACTGCCAACTTCACTTTCTACATTGTGTGTTGTATATTAGTTCCAAAGTAGTTTGGAAACATTCAGATAATGGACATTTGCTGTGTTCTTTTTGCAGAGTACCATTTGAGAACCCCGAAGATGCGGTTTTAGTACGGGCAATGACAAGATCTCTAACAGAATTTTCCTCTGTGGAATGGAACAAGGTAGCTACCTGTCAAGAAAGACGTCTTCAAAATAAAGCAGAAGAACCCCTTGAGAAGCTGACAGTCCAATTTAGATGAGTCCATTCCTCCTTAAGAAAAAAAACAATTCCTCTCTCTAGTGTGGAGCCCCATAAGTAACAAGTTCATGACAACATGCATCAAATTAAATGAATTTCCAGGAAAAAACTGTGTAATATAATGAAGAATTAAAATAACAAATGATAAATGTCAATGATACAATAAAAGTTGCTTGAAATGCAATTCTTACCAGACTTTTGTTATCAGAAAGTACTAAAGCTAAACTGCATGCTAATTTTTAAGGAACTAAGAATAAATACTTTCATTGCTTATAGTTTCTGCTGGGGAATTACTTATCGTGTTCTCTAACAGTAATTTGCCTTCTTCCATCAAAATAAAGATATGAGGAAGCAACCATTAAGCTCTTCTCATTTCTGAGAGGGATTAAAGTTTCAATTTGATAATTTGTGTGCTGCATGAATGTGCTGGAAACTCTCAGTTATATAAGGATACTCATTTGATCCCAATACAGTGGATCCACAAGCTCTTAAGCATACTGATACCTGTCTCTTGTCTGTGGCTGCTGATACTCTCCCGGGATGCAGGCCTGTGCTCACTTGTCATTCTGGAGAGACAGGACTTGCCCAGGACACTGCCCCAAGACTGCTGGACTGGTTTAATACTCTTTTATAATACAGTGCTGGAGCATTACACCTGACACTATTGGCTTTTAAACCTGTTACCACTAAGGAAGCCAGTGGGAAGTGTGTATATAGATGGAAAATAATACATTTCTACACATATTTATCCCTCCATTCTGCCAAAGGCTTAAAGTCAGTGATGCCTTTTAACATATCAAAGNGGCCTTCTTCAGCCTGTGACTTGTCTTCTGAGTCCATCCTTCTCTCCTAAGTTACCACAGAGCCCCAGGACAGTCTAAGTCGGCAGGGACCTCTGGAGCTTATCTAGTCCAACCCTCCTGCTGAAAGCAGGTTAGAGATGAGGTTGTCTGGTGGCCTGTCAAGGGCTATCAGATATTTTCTGTGAGCAAGGCACCACCACTGGGAGAATGAAAGCAGGATTTGTGCTGTAGATTTTAGCACACTTCCAAAACCCTGAACCTTTTGCCCTGAAGGGCTGGCATTTTCAGAGAAACCTTGAAGAGCAACACATTCCTGTGGGCCCCAAATGCTATGTGTGGAACAGGGAACCAGGAGCACTTCTGCATTCCCCGACCCAAGAGTGGATGGTGACTACAGCATGAGTCCAGATCTAAGTTCCAGGCAGGCAGCTCTTGCTTGCCAATTGTCATGAACTTAAACTTGCACACTCAAGCTACAGGAGGCCTCAGAATGTCACATGAGAATGTCACCGTGTGTCCCAACAGGTGTTACAGACCCAGTAAACAGAACTGTCACATAGCCCCCTTCTTTTAAAAAATTTCCCTTTATTCTTCACAATCTACTAATCCTTGAAATTAAAACACAGGTACATTCCCTGCACAGGTGCATTTATGTATCCTCACTCGTACAGTTTTCAGAATATTAAACAAAAACTTTCATGATATTAAATAGTAAAAAAATTAATAGCTTTTTCCCTCTGTTTTGAGGATGGTCCTTACTCCTCCAATTAGAAGAATATTGCCATGTTCAAAACACCAGTTATTCAGCCAAAAATAAGACAGTCTCCAATTCTGCCATCCTTATGCAGCAAGTGATAGTTTCAGTTGTGACATTCCCACTGATTTCATGAGACACGGGAATAAATCTGAGTGAAAAGCATAGTTAAGGGAAGCTATTTTCTAGATCTGGTATTTAGCTGAAAGCCAAAGTGAAATCCCAGCTGTATCAATGCATACATGAATTTCCCCATCTGTGACCAGGTTCAACATGAAAAATATTAAGCATTTTTTACATTTACGAAATGATTCATTAAGAATTCATAAGCAACATCTGTGTACTCTAAGGTATCTTTACCTGAAAACTGATTTAGAAACCATTAATCTCGTCAGTCAAAATACTTTGAGTCATTCTGGTCTTCCCTTCATTAGACTTTGGAATATTTCTGACCAAACCAATAGTGAAATAATACTGTTGAAACACAAATTTCACCATCAGCTTGAGACACCTGAAACAGCAGTTTCATTTACTAAAATTGCCACAAAATAGACACTATTATTGTGCTCTCACTAGCCAAAAATATTTACAGTAATGCCACGAAAAGTTGAGAGTTCAGACTAGTATCTTCGGAAGCTTAACTGCTACTGAATGCCTTCAGATAAAGCTTCATAAAGTGGAGAAAAAAGGCAATTTAACAGTTGGCTTCCCAGTGCTTTTAACTACAGATCTATGTACTTGCAGGAAAAAATATTTAAATTACAATTAAAATAAATTTTAGGTTCTGAAAACATGAATAATCCAAATCAAATGATTTTCATTTTTCACTAAGTGGTTCATTAACAAGAGATACTCATAGAATTTCACTAGGCTTACTGCTGGTATACATACAGATGGATCTATGCCACTCTAGTTTTTAGCAGATAATAAATACCTATTTTGACAATTTACAATAGAATCTGGAGTATTTATAGACAAAGTAGCCAGTATTTCATCTCATGATGAACAGAGACATTCTGTCTTTCAAAGGAAGTCTTGCATAAGCCATGATCTAAGAACTCAGACATGGTCAGCATAAAAAATGTTTAGTACCCTTGAGAATCCTCGGTCCCTTCCTACCCTCTTCTTACTCCTCAGAATCTTGAATTTTCTGAAGATTAATGTCAGCTAAGCCAGTCTCACTTTCCAGTGGACTTTCAGGGTGCAGGGCGAGTGCCTCCATCTCTTTGGTAATTTCAGGTTCTTCTGTTCGGTCAGTAGGATTATTTGGATCAACTTCTTTTGTAGGATCTGGACCAGGATCTGACTGTTGTTCACTTGTAGAACTACTCTCTACTAGTTGCATTTCATCTAAGCAAAACAGAAATCACACAATTAATAAACACTCAACTCATTTGCAAGCAAACATTTTTATTACTGAAGAACAATAAACACTAGGAAATTTTGCATCAATTACAAATTATTAATTTAACCAAACTTCAAGGAAAACAGACCCAAAACACTAAAGTTCTGCTTAACTTGGTATAAGGTTACTCTAAGTAACCCTACCTAAAGCTCTCATTAATTTATCTTCAGTTTTGTCAAGTTAAGAATGTACACAGTATATTTGTAAATTGAAGACTTGAATCTCAACAAATGCAGGCTTGCTGTTATGTTACATCGAAGATTTTTCTTCCAACCTCAGCTGTTACACTTTTAAGACCTGTTCAACTGCTCTTTGTCGTGCAAATTAATGCACAATTAGTTTCTGCAAGCAAACTACAGATTCTAACCTTTCTTTTGCTTCTTTTCCTGTTTCCTTTTCTCTTTGGCAGCTTCTAGTTCTTGTTTCTCATGAATTTCCTTCAGGGTCTTGCAGACTTTTTTGTGCGTAAACCAGTGTATTTTCTGGCAGTTCTGGTCACAGTACATCACCTGAAAATTACCAGAGTTATCAATTAATTTTCACGTACTAAGAAAATATACAATATTCTTGCATTTCTTAGTGCACCAAGTTGAATCTCTCTATGTAGAGCACTTATGGGTATTTTTAAGAAAATTGTAAGGTCATATGGAGTGATTCTAACTTATTTAAGAATCTATAAAGAACAGTTTGTTTTATTAACTCTAAACATACAGAAATTTTACTCTTTCTTCATTCTTAAGCATACACACTTGGAAATCCAAGTACTCCTACTCATGAATTTCAAGTATCTTTCCCAGAAGTAGATGGCTTGAATATTTTCAGTGCAGACACATATGCCACTCCTCTGAAGTCTACATAATAAATAGGGAACCATTCAAAATTCTTAGCACCTCAATGGCACTATTTTTTGGATTCTTACCATTTTACATACTGAACATCTTTTGTCTGCTCCCTTTCCCCCACAGGTTGTACAGAATTCAGCATCCACAAAACCCACTTGGCCAGTAATCGCTTGTGTAAGTACAGAAAAAGCTGTAGGGTCAGAACCCTGAAAGACAAGACAAGAGGTGGTAATGAGATTAAAAAACAGCACTGTTGCAAAGAGGGACACGCACGGGAAAAGCAAAATGACTGCGCAAGCTTCTGCCGCACTGAAGCTGCTGCAGCAGCAAGAACATAAAACTAAATCACAGAACTTCAACTAACATGCACAACTAAACGTTTGTATCATTAGATAAACTGCTGTATATGAAGTTAACTTAAGTCCTCAGCTTCTCTAGAATTTACTCTGTAACTTATAAATTATACTGTTAATGAACTCAGTGTTCTTTACACACCATCACCCACTTGCAGATCCTATGAAGCCTATTTCTGCAGATCAGTCTGTGCCGGCACATACAAAGATGTTTCACTTGTCACTGATATACTGTTGCACTCAGTGCACTCAGATGCTACAGATCAAATAGTCAGAACTTGAAATGTTCAAAACAATTATTTGCATATTACTGTTTAGATGTTATTTGCAATTCTTCCCATGCAATGCAAGCAGTAAGATTTAGTATATTTTATTGGTAATCATAAATTAAGACTATTCTTTTGGACGATAATGTAAACATTAGAGAAAAAAATGCCAAGTTGCTCCAGCTCTAAGTAAATCCTTAAACCGTTAGACTACCATGGAATATGCACAGTCATAACTCCTGCAACAACACTGAGACACCCAGACTGAGTCCAACGTGCACTGAGAAAGGTTAAAGGCTTCCCCACAAATAAAAATTATAGCGTCTTCTCCTTTTCAGTTCTACATAATGGACAGAAATCCAAAGGAATAAACAGTCATTTTTTTAAAGGCAGAAAAGACTGCAAGCTCTCCGAAGAAAAAAGGGATAGGAAGGAAAATGTTTACTCTAAAGCAAGTCATAATGCATCACGATGGCTTATGTTTTCACACTGTGTTCCTGGCTTAGACAAACAGTAGAGATTGCACTAAACCTCAGGACATTTTAGCAGACCTGCAGCCACTTAAGATGGAGGCTATTTTTAATTCACCCAGCATAATCCAAACATGTCACAAAATTGTTCCACTTCCCCAGAATTTGTGGATACATCTCACTCTCAGAGACCAGAAAGAACATGCTTG